TTGGGATTAATGGTTACTCCAAAATCGGTGAAGTTAATATCGTTGAAGATATCACCTGTATACCATATAATATAAAAAAATATCACCTAATATTTTCTTCTGAGACAATGTGATATTATTAAATATCAACATAATATTAGTTAATACGACACTATTTTTTCCAAAGATTGCGTAATCGGGCTTTATGAACCAATCAGATGTCGTTAACGCTCGACTAGCTGAAGTATTACTAATCAACCGTGAGGGAGGGACAATTGTGAGAGTGACGGCAAGGTTGGCGTCGTGTGTTGGCACTGCTGAGCGCATTAATCTAGCGCCACAGACAGCAGGTTTAATAGACGCACGAGGAGATCGGTAGAGTACAAGAACAAATGTCTTGCTTTCGCTCTATCAACGTTAAACAGCTGCAAGCGTTTGCAGTTTTCCATCTCGATCGCCTTTGTCTGTGTCACAGTGAAATACTAGAGCAAATACTTGTCAGTCTTAAAGCCTACTGCTTTTCTAGAACCTGATCGAAAAAGTTATTTGGCTCCGCTCGGTTTACAGAGGGTAAGGTGGCAAGAAACGTACTTAAGTGGGAAATTATCATAAAATAATATGTAGTATCTAACTATTTTTCAGTTCTCCGAGTTAATACTAGAATATTATGTTAATTTTTGCAAAAATGAGTTACTATTACTATTTAATTTCGAAAGTAGTATTATTACTGTCAAAAATATCATATGATATTTGGTTACCATTAGCTTCTGCCCACGGTAGCGCTGCACCGAGCTGCTTTGACAAGGGCAAGCAATACCCCGTCTATCACGACTACCGAGTTCACTGATGTCTCCTTCGTAGGGACGCTCCGTCTGCTCTGCATTCTCAAAGCGCCAGCGCACATCTGCTACAGTGAGTTGAATACTTGACCAATTGTTTAGTTGCTTTGCATGTCTGATGTAATGCGTGGGTATTCATCAGACGCGTTGTTTAGCAGGACCTTGGCAACCTCGTGCTCTTCAAGACCATTGCCTGCCTGGAATAGGCGTCGCTACATTGCTACATGTAGTATGTCTCTGACGTAAACAGAGACTCGTTCATGGCAGCTCAGGCGACGAGCATAAATCTGCGACCGCACCACCACAGTGTTCACGGCTGGCCCACGGCCATAGTCATTGTAGAGTACATGCCAAAGTCTGACAGGGCCTTCTTCATCGATAAGAGCAGCATAGCACCCAATCACCACGTCCGACCAAGCAGAGACAACAAAACTGTATGCCTTAGCAGCCCTCACCTTGGCGATGGCAGCGGAGCCGTATGGCTCCTGCCCTGTGCCGAGACGTACCATGTTGGTCACATTCAGCGCTGATCTGGCTGTATACAGCGCTAGTGCATGTACACTGTATACTCCAGGTGCTCTGTATACTCCAGGTGCTGGTTGTTCTGGACACTTCCGGAGTCCTGGTCGGACGCCTGCCGTGTATAGGCGGCGACGCTGTCGTCACTTGAAGTAGAGAAGTCCCTCGTAGCGGGAACGGGCCCCAGGCGTTGTGTGAGGCCCAGCAGTAGCTAAAGGTTTGTGAATTCAGTTTGATTTTTGCTTTCTGTTGTTCAGACGGCATTCGATCCGGTGAGGAAAGATCAAAGTTAACTTTAGTTACCTTTCTTGCTCAGTTCGAGCTCAAGCTCCGCGTTGTGTGACGCGAGATGGCAAGTAAGAAAGAAGACGTAATGGACGAACTCGAAGAGAAGACCAGAAGAATGTAATTGCAGAGCGTCGGGTCGGCGCGGTCCCCGGGTCTCCATTACAAATCCCGAACCCGTTCACGGAAGCGACGGGCCCGGACGAGGCGGATGATGAAGGCATGCCGACGGTAAGCCCGCGGTCAAGCCAAGGGCGCGTTGCGGCAGCGCCAGCGCTTCCCCAGCCTCCCAGATACAAGGGTGTAACCATGCAAGACCGGAGGGACTTCATGAAGGCATACAAAACGTATCTTGCAGCAGTTAATGCCCTGCAGACCCAATGGACTGGCGCGTTTGCAATGCCAGTGGGTGCGTGTATTGAGAGCGGCACGAAGCGGCTTATCGCTCGTTGGACCTTCGGGAAGCCCCCCGAACAGATCACGGAAGACGAGTGGATCCAATACTTCAAACAAGCGAATGTGGCCTCGATCGTCGACTATGCCACGGTGGACGCGGCCATGACTAAGCTGAAGATGAACACGTCGATGCCCGAGCCGGAGAGCCGCATGATGCGCCTCCAGGCCGACATGACCGCGATCCTTGAGCGCTTCAATTTAACCGACGTGGCGTTCGCCAACGAGCAGCGCCGGCTCGTCAAGTACATGGTGGCCCGCACTGCAACCCCAAGGATTCAAGGCGGTGATCACGACAAAGCTCAGTCTCCACGAGCACAAGACGTTGCGCTCGAAGGGTCGTGCCCTTCTGCCAGTGGGTGACCCAGCTCATGAAGGAGTTCATGACGTGGGAACACGCAATGCAAAGTTCTGGTGGACACAGTGGCGGCACATCCGGAGGATCAAATAGTGGACGGTCCAGTGGTCGAGGCGGTGGCCGGGGCCACAACGCCAGTGATCGTGGTGGAAGTGGACGTCACTACAGCCAAGGGAGCGGTGCTGCCGCTGCTGATGGTGTCGCTGGTAGCGGGGTGGCCAGACACCCCCACCAGGAAGAGATTCAACGTCTGCCGGAGATGGGAGGCCGCATCGGCGAGGAGCCGGTGCGTGTCTCAAATGCGGGAGCGACGCTCATCAAGCTCGGGACTGTCCAAAGGCGTCGCCCGAGGAGGCCTCTGAGCTGTTGCGAAAGCTGTTCTCTTCGACTGAAGGCGCCAAGATGCGCCGCATCAAGGAAACGCCTGTCCGGACAAAGCGTAGGGAGAGTGAAGACACAGGCACTGTCGAGGCTCAGGTCGATGGCCTGAGAATCGAAGCAGTTCTTCTCGACAGCGGGGCGGACGTGTCGCTGGTAACCAGTGGAGCAATCAACGCGCTTGTTCTTCGTGGAGCCTCGCCCCAGATTGAATCCATCCAAGCCCGCGACCTATTGCCCGTCGGTGGCCGTCGTGTTACCGTGTCACGAGCTGTCAAGTTTGCTGAGGTGTTGCTCAGCACCACGGCCGGGCCGCTCATGCTTAGGAATTTACTTTGTTGGATTGAAAAGGGAACCAAGAGCTCGAGTTGACGGTCAGTCGGCCGGTTATGCAGACGCTCGGCTACTCGACGGATACTATATTGGCTAACGCGAGGAACGTGCAGCCTGAGTGGGAACTCGAGAGGATTGTCTCAAAAATGGAGACGAGAGCTGACGTGGAGCCATCGGCGCTGCAGCGTATGAGCCGAGTGCAGCTGGCCGCGCGGGATCCCGTGGTTGAGACGCAGGCTGACGATGATGTCGACTGGTACGAGTCGCGAACGGCGTTGCCGGATATGAAGCTGTCGGCGTTACAGGCCGTCATTGACCAACTCGAAGAGTCGCAGCGACTTGCGGCCACGGCTGGCTTATCAGCACCGGGACAGATAAAGCTCAGGGCAATCTTGGCCGTGCGCGCAGACAACTTTCGACTGGCGTTCGGCTACGATCCTCCCGTGAAGGTCGCGCCATTGCAAGTGCGCTTGAAGCCCAATGCTAAGCCGGTTAAGTGCCAACCTCGTCGATATTCGCCGAATGATCGGCTGTTCCTCGACCGTCACACGTCCACGCTGGAGGAAGCTGGCGTTATCTACATGAACCATCGATCCGTGTGGTGCTCGGCGCCGAGAATCGTGCGTAAAAAGGAACAGGACATCGACCCAAATGCTGATCCA